ATGTGATAGTTTATTTGCTAGAGTTTTCATATTTTTAGGAACTATGCTCAGTAGTTAATGGGTAGTAATTAACTAAGCAGTAATATTTCAACATCCAACATCTATCCAACAAAAAATTCCAACATCTATCCCAAGTCTTTAAAGTTATGTTTACTTCAAATGAATGGAACGAATGAATAAGAATCAATTTTTTTTCATTCGCTTTGATGATGTTGAAAATGAAATGGTGGGACCCACACAATTTTTTCATTCTTATTCCTTAAAAGGAGTATTTTTTTTCTCTTTGTTGCGCCTCTGCTTAATAGCAAGAGGGACGAGTGCAAATGCACACTCTCACAAGTAATAATCTGGAAATATTCTAAGTTCGTCTCCATAGGGATTAGTTTTCTTTTAAAATTGATTTTGCAAATTGTTGGAATGAGCAATCAAGTTTGGGAATAAAAATAATTGATTGGTTGAAATGCACGTTTATAATTTAATAAAATAGAATTTTGAAACCAACCCTCATACTACTGACTAGTTTGAAGAGAAATGAGTTACACCTATCAGAATCTCACACTAAATTTACTCTCTAATTGCAAATTGGTTCAACTCCTATTTCATACCGCTTTTGGTTTGTTTAGAAGATTAGGCCAGTATTTAAAACATGTCTGTAAAATATTAGAAGAATCCTAAGTAATTAAAACTTCAACTTACGTTTAATGGGCAAGAGAGCCTATGTCTAGGATCTTGTTTAAGTTCTTACGTTTAATGGGCAACTTACGTTCAATAAGAAGTGGATTGAAATAAAATATCATATTAAATTTAAGAAGTAATTACAATAGCTAAATTAAAATCGAGAACCGAAATCTAAAGAAAATGATAACAACAAAAAGGAATTGCAATAAAAATAATTCAAGGAATGTTGAGCAAAATTAAAGACAAAACAAATTATAAAAACATAAATTCTAGAAAGGAAACAAGCTGGAATTTTTAAATGTCCCCACTTTGAAGCTCGATGGAACTTGGTATTTATAAGCTAAACGCTTTCGTTTTTACCAAAGAGATCCGAATTATAAAATTTTTGTCTCACTTTATCGTTATTTACTGAAAGGCTAGAAATATATCTTCTTTCGACAGAAAGAGAATGAACGTTAATTTGATCTTGATCCTTGTAGAGTGAAAAAGGGACTACACTGCATCCGCACGAACCTCCCGATAATATCCATAAATGACTTGTTTTTGGTAAGAGATGGATATTACTATATGTAAATTCGGGTGCATGGTACACATCGGTACCTTGCAAGTTGCTGGAAAAAATCTTTGGTATTTGGCTTAACAGCATTTGGTTGCACCGATCAAGGGATGGGTTGAGAATTCTTCTAACTGCCCGGTCAACAAAAGCCCTTATTTGTAGGTGGAGAATGCGCCAGGCACATTGCTGAAGTATCTGGAGTGTTTGCTGAAGTATCTGGAGTGTAGCTTTAAGATAGCCTATGTGTCATCTGCAGTAGGTGCATTGCTGTTTTTTCCTTCCTTTTTCCTATAAAACATATATATTTCTTCATAATTCCATCTATTTATCCAAAACCAAGTGTACAAGTCTTTCCTAAGAAATAGTCATATTTATATCGGATTCAATGCATGAAACACACGTATTTAATTCCAGAAGACACTAAACATGCACAATTTGAAAACACTTTTTCCTAAAATTCAAGACTTATCACTCTTCTAAACCATCATCAATCTCATTTACATTTCTTATTACGTGGGCTCCCAAATTTATTGCAATTATATTTCTACTTTTACTTGTTCTCTTTCAAGTATTAACCAGACCTATCACTTTTTAATTTATTATTTCCTTTTCATTTATCTATTAATAATTTTTCTTCTAATAAAAATTTATACCACTTTTATTAATTAACATTATTTTATTATAAAATATTATAAACTTATATTTATTTTTTAATTTTTAATTTAATTTTGATATTATTAATTAATATCAATAAATTTTTTAAAATAGAACTCATTATTATTAAATATTATAATAATAAAATTTTATATTAAATGATGTTGATTCTAATAAAAAATTATTCCAGTGGATGTGATTTTATTTTAATTATTCATTATTTATTAATATTAAACAAATTGTTATCATAAAAAATATTTAGTATCTATAGTAATAAAATAAATTAAAATTTAGTTATTATTGTAATTAAAAAAATTAGCACAACAATATATTTGTAATAGTTAGAAAGAAGAAAGAGGTATACTAGTTGTTGATGGCGAATTTTGGTGAGGTTCACGTGTCCCCTAAAACGGTGCACTACCAAATAGCAAATGAGACTGCAATCAAAAAATTTGACACCGGTGTGGTATCTCATCTAATACACTTCGACAATCAAATTAGTAATTGAAGTAAAAGAATATAGTAGACAACTTAGGGATTTTTAGTGATAGAGGGTGAGTATCTGTCCTTCTCAATTGCAGGTCGCAATGGCTTGCGACATCCTTTCCATACGAACTCCAACGCCGGGACATGCCGCATGTTTAGGTTTCTCCCTCAATACTAAAATAGTTTTAGTAAACCACATAAAAGAATTTTGATTTCGATTCTACAAAATTTTTGATAAACAACGTCAAAAGAATAACATTCTTTCTGATTAATTTAATTTCGATTGATTTTGATTTATTCTTAGTATGATTTTGGTAAGTAAACATAGCCGAAGTTCAAACCTTTGATAAATTGAAGCCTGAAAAGATAGTTTAAAGAGAAAAACAACAAAGAAAAAGAGGCAGCAGACGAAGACCAATAAGTTTCGTTTATTTTAAATTTTCCATTGCTCCGTCGATTTGAATGGTTAGGGCTTTGTTTTTTGTGTGTTGAGGAGTTGAATGGTTTTTTTTTCCATCGATTCTGTTTTCATATGTGTAGATGAACGAATACATGAATGTTAATGCATCTATTAGGTATTTTTCCGTGGATTTCGTTGTCCGATTTTACTTTTTTTTCGTTCCATGTTATTTGTTGATTTTTCCTTTGTTATTGTTATGTTGAAATTGAGGTCTGTGAGATGTTACGTTGATAGTAGTTCAGTTGTGTGGTGGGAGGTTGAAGAAGAAGAAGGAACGTCACTCTTGTTAATTCTCTGTTATTTTTCTCGGGTTCGACCTCGAGCGAGGTTGAGCCCGAGGTATTTGAAGAGGCTCAACCTCGAGGAGCCCGAGGTATTCCGAAGAGTTTGAACCTCGAGGTGACTCTTCCTAATACCTCGAGCTCAACCTCTCCCGAGGTCGAACCCAAGAAAAATAACAGAGAGCACAAACTCTCGAGCAACTTTCAAATTTCAATCCTTGCTCAAGGTTTCTAAGCATCTGGAAAAGTCCTCGGTCTCAACCTCGGGCGAGACTGCACTCGAGAAATTTTTCAGAGGCCTACTAGAACCTCGAGCAAGGTTTGAAATTTCTTCCAAACATTGCTCGAGGTTGAGTGTCTTTCAATTACCTCGGGCTCAACCTCGCCCGAGGCCATTCCCGAGAATTTTGACAGAAATTTAACAGACCTTGAGCGAAAGAACAAATTTCTTCAACCTCGCTCGAGGTCCATCTCACTTCGCGCGAGTTTGTCCTTCTTCTTCAACCTCCCACCACAAATATTTTAAATAAACCTTACATCCACACACACAGACTAGAGACCTCAAAATTGACATAATAATATATTCAAGAATTAAGAACAAGGAAAACAAACAGTAATCAGTTTTCCTATTTTTCAAATTATGAAATACACAAGAAACAAACTTAAATCGATGCAATGTAATTCTTGTATTCGTTCATCCAAACACCGGAAAACAAAATCGATGGAAAAATAAAACATTAAACTCCTCAACAGCGATGGAAATCGAAGCCCTAGCATTCAAATCAATGGAAAAGAACAAAAATTAACAGAGAAGGAGATGGAACGAAAGCAATTTCAAACGGAGAAGATGATGGAACAGAAACGATTTTGAACAGAGAAGGAAAAGAGAAAGAGACGTCCGATAAATAGTTTGATTTTTTGAACAGAGGGGTAATAGTGCAATTTCATTTCTTTTTAAATTTAATTAATAAATATTAAACTGGGTCATCCAAGCACATTTTGAAAGATGAGGTCATTTAGCATTCCAAAAACTTATGAAGCTCATTTGAGTCAATTTCCCCTCTTCTCCAATGCTCGCCGTTCTGAATCTATCTTGGTTCCTTAAAATCTGGCCGCGTTCCCGACATCTTCATCCAAAATTCACTACTCTATTTTTAGATTATCAATGGTGATGTTCCTTTTGCTTCTCGAATCTATAAGGGCACTGTCAAAACTAAGGGATTCCCCTCCAAACTAAGCAATCTCAGCCACGTATAACTTTCACAAACTTGAGATGTCCAAAAGAAGTTACCCTGAGCTTCTTTCTCAAATCCCAGCTTGGAAAGCCCCGAAATGATTGAAGTCCATGAAACCACATTTGGGTCAGGCTTTGGATGAATATGTTGGGAAAGGTAGCCAGATTTTAGGGAATTAGGAACGGCAGGTACCTGAGATAAAGAGAGAGAGAGAGTAAAAGCGAAAAAATATGCCACCTCCAACTCAGGGATAAAGCTTTGGGAAATATTCCTCCAATTTTTGTTTTAAAGTCAGACTCAACCATCTCCGAACAAATCGGAAAAATTGGGGCAGATTCGGTGACTTCTACTTACCCCGGCCACATCTCGATCCCAAATGGACGGCGCGGTTTGCGGCGGAGAGAATGGGCGATTTCCCCGAGTTCCGGCGGCTGGACGAGAAGTCCCTAATAGAATACGTAAGGACAGTTCCTTGTCTGGGTTCGATGGTGGGCGACAATTTGGAGGTTAAAGAGGTCGGAGATGGCAACCCTAATTTCGTTTACATTGTTGTCGTCTCCTCTGGTTCCTTCGTCCTCAAGCAGGTCCCTCTCTGCAATTGTAAAAACTATAGACACTTGCATCAAGTGAAGAAATTTGGGTTACTTTCGTGAATACTCGATAGCTCATCTCTATTGTAAACCTTTGTAAACATTTACAAGGTCTTTTTCCGATGCTTTATGACTTTGAAGATTGTGGCCATTTTGGCTTATCAATCTTACCGGAATCCCATTTTTTGGACTGGAAAAACACCGTTCACATTCTATCATAATTTACATTGACCATCATTCACTTTACAAACTACTGGACTTCCCCAAGGATTTAAAGAATTTGATCATAGGATCATACACATCTTCCTTGGCTCTCACACTCAAAATGAAGTCTACATGACCATAATTCTCAAGGTAAACCAATTCTGGTACCGAATCCAACTCCTTGATGGTGTGCTGCAGATCTGTCCAATCTGACAACTCGTCATTGCCACCATACGCCATCCACAGCGGCAACGACTTTGGAATACGGCGGAGATCGAATGCAGGAGGCTTTGAACGACCATACACTCTCAGATTGTTTAACAATCCATAGTCATACCTGGAAAAAGTACCCTTGCGGATCACTGGAGAAAAAGAAAGCGGTTAAACCAGCCTGGCTTGAACAGTTTCCCGGGAGAATTTAGTGAAGTGGTCATATATTTCCAAAGATATTATTGGCATGCAATTTCTATGTAAAGAGGTTTTAGATTCAACTGGAAATCACAGCGGTGTGATTTTGGGGATACTTTCGGCTACAGTTCTGATGGCTGCAGTAGTAATATAAGTAGTAAATAGACTTTAGTTGAAGAGGAACTTTAGCATTAATGGGGAGCTTAGGTAATCGTTTTGAAGTGCAACAATGGAAGAGGAAAACTTGGCATTTTTCCTGTGAAAGAGGTTGTTGAAGAAAACTTGATGGGCTTTTTAGCATCTCTAGGAGGTTTCTTGGAAAAGTTTTGAAGAAGATCAATTTTCGAGTTCTTTTCTAGTGGGGATGTTTTCTTTGTAGTTTACCAAGGGTTGTTCTCATAATTTTACTATTTTCTTGATAAACGGGGTGATTTTTGTATGCTCCTAAAGGAGTTTTGGACTTGGTAACTTCTTAAAAGTTGGTTTCCTTTGCGAGAAAGGAAAGTCACTTGCTAGAATAAAAATGTATGACGCCCAAGTTACACAATTGGATGTTCAAGGATTTGTATTAGACTATGCATAAAATGCAGGTAAAGAATTTATAGATTCATCAGTCATAGTATAATAGAACATAAAGCTGAGAGAAGATCATGAGCGTACTCTGGAAAAGATGGTGTAGGTTTTTTGCAGATGTTGGATGTGGTTCGAATTCAAAAAAGAAGTCAAAACGTGAGCCATTGAGGTAACAGTTCTTCCCTGCAGCATTATAAGAATTCCTTGTTAGGAAATTCAAGTTTCTGAGTATTTGAATAGATTGAACATTCAAAATTGATACTTCCCTGTAAAGATAAAGCAATATTTCAGACCATCATTCCAATAACAACAATTCATTATCGATCCTCTTTTTCTAGTTCTACCCAATTTTCTTCTGAAAACAAGAAACATGACATTATAAATATATAAACGCCATCCATCTTCATGTTAGGGTCCGTTCGATTGTCACTAGGCACAGAATACTTTAAATTACCTGTGTAGCTAGAGTCTAGTGAAATGAGATCTTATCTTTAGGCAGGCTTCAGCAAGATATCGTGAAAACTATGATACAGACTTTGGTGGGAAATACATGGAGTAATCGACTTACAGTGCAGATACAGTAAGATTTTATCAGGCTGTATAATTTGTTGTCTTATTTTTGTTGGAACCTATTTGCTATGAACAACATTACATGAAGATTTATAGGCACGACAAAAAACTCCACCTAAACTACAGAATGTCTGCTCCCAACCACTTTCCCGCCAAGCACATGTCAGAGGAGAACATGGCTGATACCACAAGAGTATTGAAAACTCAGTATAATTTCTTATAGCTCTATGCCAATTGTCATGTGAATATATTTATTTATTTTCTCTCATCTATGTTCAACGCTGTATTTCCAAGACAAAAGAGTAACAGATTGATTTACAAGTCATAAAATGATAAAATTAAAAGGTTTCGCGGAGAACTTAGTACTCATGAGAGAACTTGGTACTTAATAATCCTCCTATCCAAAAAATAGGACTTAATAATGATCAATGCCAGAATATAAAGAGGAACATATACAGTTAATAATGATCAATGTAAGCGTGCATGGTTAATAATGATCAATGTCAACATGCATCAGAGTAATTGACAGAGATTAGCAACTTTTTTTTTTTTAATAATAAGGAGTCGGAGCTTTGCTCCCCTATAATCAGGGTTGACCCGGACCTGGAAGACATTAAGAATTTTTGGTATTATTGAGACTTTTAAATCAGTATGACTAAGAGATTCCACGCCCTTGCCAACTGGGATGGAGACAACAGAAATTAATAATATTGAATCACAAATTCTAAGATTGCAAAAGAGAGAAAAAAACAAAACAAGAAAGAACTAGAAGAAAGCATTCTGGCAACAATTTCCTATGCACAATGGCTTGGAAGGTAAAGAAAAAAAGTAAGAAGGGGTGGGGGAAAAGAAGCGAGTTGTGGAGATAACCTGTTATTGAACTTAGAATATTGTTGCAGTCAACGAGCTGATCACAAAGCATATCTAAAAGGTTTGTTCCCCAATCACTGAAGTAGTGTAAAGAAACATCGGCATCAGTTTTACAAACAACACTGAAGCTAAAAATGCAACCAATTACAAATCAAATTGGATAATGGAATGACAACCTTTTAAAGTTAAGCTGATGAAATCCCATTGTAAGAATCATCTGCCGAAAAAAAACTACAGAGAATAAGCTTATTACTAAAATCTGTACGATCATTTAACAATGCTAATCAAACAATAACAAGCAAGGAATACCGTATCAAGATGCAAGTCAACCATTAGACGTACTAATGGAGCAGTGATATGGTCCAAGTACGATATAGGACTAAGAAGAGCAGCTGCTTCAACTTTCTTGGCTATGTCTGGTTGGGTAAGAGCAACAAAAGATATGATTGTTCCCTGCAAACAAGACAGGAGATGACACAAGAGCAAGAAGGAAAATTTTCAGACGAAGAATCCTGTATGAGAAGAGATATGGGACCTGTGAATGCCCAACAACATAAACTTTCCTGTCTGTTAATGAATTTATGTAGTCAATCATTTCTGCGAGATCATACAGAGCCAAATCTTCCCAACTCCAATTCCAAAATTTCTACAATAAGAATATACTAGAATCAAACACCAATAAACAGAAACTTAACAAATGCAATTTATGTTAACATTACTTTTAAGATTGACATAAGATACTTATGAACCAGTAATCCAACAGACAACATAGTGGAGAGACTTGAGGCAGAAAAGGCTTTAGTAAACGGACACAAATAGCATGTAACGAATGGTCTATTTAAGATAAACTGTCATGTAACGGCTTAACTCCATAAAACCTCACCTCTATTTGTTTGAACCTTTACGATCAACTGCATGATACTCTCTACCTCAATGCATTGAGCATATATGAGCAGCAGCATATTTGCATCATTATTAAATTTTCTAGATACATGCAATGCACCCACAACACACTGGAGAAACCCTTTCTATTAATATGTTCGCTTTTCATCTAATTAACACCCTATCCATCTTAGGCATTTTATAATAAACTAATCTATTAATACCTTATCATGCTCCGATAGCGATATATGCCCATGACTCCACCGTGTTCCACGCACATTTCCTATCCACACATCAAATCCATTTTCAGCAAGGATGAAGCCTAAAGATTGTTCCGCAGAATTCAAAAACCATGCATCGCCTGCCTGCATTTGCACCAACTTAGACAATGAAAGGTTTGAAATAGCTAGTAGTAGGAACCACGTCCCTCAACTATGAGCATGATTCCAGTCCACGAAATAATTCAAATTTTACAATTCATGTTTCAAGATCCAGCTATTGATGTCATGGACCCAAGAAAATTTTAAGGATAGTTAGATTTGTCAGATTGTTTCAGATGGGTAGCAAAAATTTGAAAAGAATCTCACTTGGAAGGAGAAGAAAATAGAAGGCTTGATTAAAGGAACAACATAAACATATAAACAGACATATACACAGTGTGCGTGATTGTTGAAAATTAAACATGTACATCCCTAAGTACATGATACATTAACATGAACTAGTAATTAATTTTATGTTCATGAATTTAGTTTTTTAAGATGAATTAATCATATGTTCGTGTATGTATAGGTTCATAAGATGAGAATTTATGGATCTAGATTCTTCCATGGAGTCCTATAAATAGGATGATGTTTTGATGTATTTCAAACAAGTGTATGGAGAAGAAAACAAGAGAGATTGGTAAACCAATTGTGTATTTTGTGAGAAATTTCAATACAAGTAAAGTTGTTTATTCTCAGTCAAGTCTTGTTAATTCTAAATTTGTGAGTGTTCATCACATGCTTCCAGCAGTGATGGATTGCATAATAATTACCAGCAGTGATGGATTGCATAATAGTTAAACCGGCTAGGTAGTTGATAGAGCTGAAAGCTCTAATTACTTCTATTTAGGAAAGGAAAAATGGGAGAAATTCAAAGAGTCCCTTAGCTCTCCCACAACTTTAATGAAAATCCATAAAGAACTCAAAGCTCACCAGTCTCACCCTTCCCTACATTCCTCTGATTCCCCCTTTGCAATTAGTTATTTCTCCCTCCTCTCTTCAATATTTTACTAACCACTTCCGCAATTATTTCAGCATCAGCCAGACTTTGAGCTAATCAAGAATTCGTTAAGATTAACTCATATTTAGCGCATTGTCAGCACAGCAATTATACTCCAAATTATAATCTCCTTTAAATAACATTCGCTTGCAAACTTGAGGTCTTCAATTTTTGAAGTGACAATGACCGGACTGTAGTAGTCAAGAAGGTTAGTACTGACCTAATACAGAACCCTCACATAACTTTTTCCGGGAAAATAATCATTTTACTGCAATATCAAGAGATTGGTGCAGTTGAAATTACAATGAAAATAGATACAAAAAAAAGCCTCAATAGTATAACAAATATCAGATGTCGTCAATCCTTTTGTTAAAAACAGGAGTTTGATATTGCTAATGAGAAATTAAAAATAAAATAAAGAATGCAAAACTCAGGAAACCTTGTCGAGTTTCTAGCTACTGCTGATAAAACAAAGAGTAAATTGATTAGACAAATACAGTTACAATATTTTAAAACTGTAAGAAGGCTCACCATGAGAAGTCCATGGAGGAGCAAAATTGGAGGGCCTTTTATTTTTTTCAAATCTCCATCGTATGAAGATACACGTTGAAGACCCAACAAAAAGCCATCCTTCGTTTGAATCTAAGAAATTTATGAGAAAATCATGTCCGTCAGCACTGCACAACCATATAAAGAGTGCTCAAGTATACCAAATGCGTCGAGCTCAGAATTGCTAATAAACACAATGAACACAAAGATCGATATAAATGAATCAGTTTGTCCAGACTCGACAGATAAACAAATCAAATCATTCAATCACGGACAAGAAATAACTCTCGAACACGAAGCATTGCAGCAAATTAGTTGACTAAATCCTTTCCAGTTACTCCACTACGAACAGAGCGATCACTAATACTGTCTCATTTCACAAACAATTCCTAATAATCAGCAGCGAGAACAGAGAATCACAGTACCTTATGCTCCTCGCAAGGATAGCCAGCAGGTTCGACGAGTTGAGAGCACAAGGTCCTCTGCTCCGACGAAGCGCGATGGAGAATCGAATGCTCGGTGGAACGATCGGAAGAATCATCGGTGGCGTGAAGAGCGAAGTAGAGAAGAAACATCAGAGCAAGCAATGGCTTCGCCATCTCCGAAACAAAGATTGAGCTTCAAGTGACAGCGAGCCAAATTGGTAAGCACACAATGACCGTACATTATTGAAGGGGGAGCCGAGAAGATGCTCTTCAACCAATCGAATCGTTTCGTGGATATGCGTACGCGCCCACTCGCTATGGAAAGCGCGTGGAACCTTTCAGTTATTTATTTCAAAATTATGATTTTTTTTTCTTCAACCGCTTATGAAATCTAGATATTTTTAGAGTTAACGTCTACCAATAATAAACTAAATTTATTGTCAAACTTAGCCATTTGAGATAATTTCCCATTTTTATCACCACCACCTTCATCTTGTGGGTTTAAGAAACCAAAAAATTTATTGTTAATATTAATTGGGGGAGGGAATAGCAACAAGAATTTAGAACACGATATCTCTGATCTGACTGAACTCAAAATTTTAAGTGAATAGGCTATAATATATTTACCGACATAAACTCAACTAGTCGAGATAGCATTTACCTCTTTAAAAATCCAGTTCGAATTCCCTACTCATGTTAAAGTAAAAATAAAAAGTTATAATAAATTTAATCCCAATTACAATCGAATTTTTTTATACCATATACTTCTTCTTTTTTGACAAAGAGATACCATATACTTTGTAGTTATATTTTTAAAAATACAAAATTATATCATTTCAAAAAATAAAGACTTATGCCTCCAATCAAAAATAGAAATTGAAAACATACTTTTTCATAATTTTGCATGCATAGGTCATTTTAGTTGCACTTAACTAAGGCACACTATTATAAAGGAATGAAAAAGTACTAATTAATGGGTCTAGAAAAGCAACTTTTCATTTTATTTTTTCTGTTTTTTGTTTGCTTAATTTATACAGAATTGTAGGTGTTTGAGTGGGTAGCAATCTAATGGGTGCTAAAAACTCCCGGCAATTGCCTTCTAGTGAATGCTAAATAAAATCTCCCATCCATTATTTTTTTTCTTTCTTATTTCATACAATTGAGGTATTTTAATTAATTTACAAGTAACTTCACTTGCCTAATCTAGAAAACTACTCTTTCAAAGTGTTTCTTACAAATTAAGGTATGTTTATGACAAATTAAAAAAAAAATTATTCTTCAAAAGAGGGACAATGTAAATTTAAACAATTTGTTTTAATGACTATTTGTGAAGGGTTAAAACAATTACAATGGGAGAGATCCGGCTGATTCATTTGGAATCAGACTCCCTACAAGTGATTGATCTCATGAACTAAAAATAAGACATTCATGATTCACCATACCAATTTGCACCCGTGTAATGATTTTCTACATTCTAAAAAAATTTGTCACATTCATTTATCGGGTGACCCATCAGAACACCAATGAGAGCAGAATTCCTCTAATCGTTCACACTTTATTGAGATCCAACATCTTCCGATAGACCCATCAATGTTGATCTTTTACCCCTCTTCGAAGTGGTTTTGTGATATCAAAATTTATACAGATTCGACGAGTTTCTCCCAACATAAATTGTCTATAGTACATTCAAAGTCTTTGAAAGATCTCACCGTGTTTCATAACCTCACAGTAATACGCTTGTTTCGACACCCGAAAAAGAGGTTAAAGAAATGAGTCCATAAAACTACCTTGTTGAATTTCATCTCATCCAGCTACACCATAGTAACTGGTTTTTCAAGGACCAATACGAACTTATCGAGAAACCAAGGTCCTGATCTAAGAACTCTATTTCGATCACTAGGTTTATTGAAATGAAAGAGGAATAGGTTTCTTCCTACGTTTCCACAATAACTAAGTTCTACGATCTCCATGAGATTATCCATTGTCTTTTGCATCACTACTCCTAAGATTGGCTTCGATACTGGGAGCAATATTTTAAATATTGATGTCTTTTCATAAAAATGTTGAGGTATCAATCTCATATAAGAGAAGAATATTGTTATTTTTTCGACTCAATTGCTTCATTTTTTTATTTTTTTTGGTTAAAAGTAGAGAGTCCCTTGTTTCAAAGAGAGGAGGACGGGTTATTCACATTTCATTTGATGGTCAGAGGCAAATTGAAAGCTAAGCAGTGGTAATTCTAAGGATTCCCGAGGGGAAAAATAGAGATGTCTCCTACGTTACCCGTAATATGTGGAAGTATCGACGTAATTTCATAGAGTCATTCGGTCTAAATGCTGCATGAAAAAAGACACCTCCTAAAAGATAAAAGTTAAATAGGGATACCTCTATAATCTACTCCTACCCTTCATAAATCTCGATACATTAATAAGCAAGGTTCGAATCCTTATATCCCGTATTGTATTCTAGAAAAATCATAACTCATAACTCATGATATGATTATACTAACAAAAGCTCATATGTAGCTAACAATTCATGTAGAATTCATCTAGCTACCCACAAAAAGAATTCCAATATCTATCCTAATTCCTAACCCGAGGATAAATTGAAAACCTGAAAAGAAAGTTTGAAGCAGACAAGAACACAGAGAAAAAGAGGCATCAGACGGAGACGACGGTCGAGAAGGACACAGTACGGTCATATTTGAACATTAGAAAGAAGATATTTTCTTCGATAAAAAGCAGATATTTTTCAATACACCACTTTCCGAAAAAGAAAAATTCTTTTTCGCAGTCGCAATTGACTAATTGAGTGTCTTAGCGCTCATTTTCAAGTCAATATTCCTTCAATTTATGTTTTAAAGTCGACTCCACCATCTCGGAACAAATCGAAACAAATTGGGGCAGATTCGGTGTACCACTACTCCGGCGGAGAGAATGGGCGATTTCTCCGAGTTCCGGCGGCTGGACGAGAAGTCCCTTGTAGAATACGTAAGGACAGTTCCTTGTCTGGGTTCGATGGTGGGGGACAATTTGGAGGTTAAAGAGGTCGGAGATGGCAACCTTAATTTCGTTTACATTGTCGTCGGCTCCTCTGGTTCCTTCGTCCTCAAGCAGGTCCCATCTTCTGTCCATGTTCTGTCCATGTTGTAACGATTGCGGCTCTTTTGACTCATCGATCTTAATCGAATTAGACCGGATTTTACCATTCTGTAGGCTCTTCCATACGTTCGGACGAGGGGAGAATCGTGGAAGATGACGAGGGAGAGGATCTATTTCGAGGCGTCGTCGCTGAAGGAGCATGGGCGGTGGTGCGGTGAGCATGTGCCACAAGTGTACCACTTCGACCGCACCATGTCGGTCATAGCCATGCGCTACTTGGAACCGCCGCACATGGTCCTCAGAAAAGGCCTAATCGCCGCTGTTGAGTACCCTCTTCTTGCACACCACATGTCTGATTATATGTCCAGGACACTCTTTTTCAACTCAATTCTCTACCACTCCACCACCCACCATAAACTTGGTGGTAAGTTCACTACTCATGCCATTTCTTTACTTTCTGTTTACCAACATCTTTCATCTTTTGTCTATTTCTATGATTTTAATCTCTTGAAATTTGGAGGGTTAAATACTATTTTGATCGTTTTACTTTTTAAAACGTCCATTTTGTCTATTGTATTTTCAATCTTTGTTTATTTAGTCTTTTGTACCTTAAAAACGTCTGCTTTGGTCGTACTATTAAAAAGTAACTTTTCATTTTCATTCTATCTTATTTATTTTCGTCACAATTTTAGCATGAATTTGTATTAAATAATTTTCATTAGATATAAATTTTATAAATAGGGACCATAATATTCACCTTTTAAAATTCAGACACTAACAGTGTCATTTTGAAAGTAGATGAACAAAAATTGAAACATTTTGAAAATATAACGAACAAAATGAACTAAAAATAGAAGTACTAAAATAGTATTTTAATATATATTTTTCTTTTAAGTTCCTGGATTGAAATGACAAAATTGTTAGTTTTTTAAAAGTTTAAAAGCTAAAATAGACATTTTTATAGTTTAGAGATCAAACTAAAACTAGAACTTAAAAGTGGAGGGAACAAAATGTAACCTGCATGCATACTGAAATTTGAGGTGGCTAACTTTGTTACTTGACAATCAAATTTAATTTTCAATTTTTGTTACATGGTCGTGTAGGTAATGATTGAGATTAAATCACGTTTTTAAAGTTGATGGTATTGTTTTCATTCAAGAGCATTGAGTTGATCAATGTGTGCTTTTTTTCTGCATCAAAGTGAATAGGCTAAGGCTTCTTCTATGTAGTTCTTGTAAGATGGATCTTTGTGTTTCTGAATCCTTAGTCGATATTAACAATGATAACACACTCTTTTCCTTGCACTCTTTCGATACAGTTGCTGAATATTGTGGGAATGTGGAGATGTGTAGGCTCACCGAGCAGGTTGTGTTTTCAGACCCTTATCGAGAGTCTCCGTTTAACCGCTGGACTTCCCCTTATCTCGACGACGAGGCCGAGTCCATCCGTCGAGATAATGCCTTAAAACTCGAAGTTGCAGAGTTGAAATCAAAGTATAACCGTACCTTGCTATATATCTTAAGTTTCTAGTGGCTAAAATTTCGAAAGAAAGTGACAGAGATTCACATTGAGTTCATGGTTACTTTTCAATGCATAGGTTTATTGAACAAGCTCAGTCTCTCATACATGGAGATCTTCATACCGGTTCCATCATGGTCACTCCCGAATCAACTCAAGTTATCGATTCGGAATTCGCGTTCTACGGGCCGATGGGATATGATATTGGAGCCTTCTTGGGAAACTTGATCTTGGCTTTCTTTGCACAGGATGGACATGCTGATGAACATAACAATCGAAAAGTAGGTTCGAGTTTCGTTTCTTCACTTAGGTTCATGCATTTTTGTATGATTTTCAGCGAGCTCCGAATCGCTGAAAACTCTTCCTTATGCCAGGCGTACAAGGAGTGGATATTGAAAACAATTGAAGAGAGTTGGAACCTTTCCCAAAAGAAATTCATTGCACTGTGGGATGAGCACAAGGATGGGCCTGGTGAGGCATATCTACCTACAATATACAACAATCACGAGCTTTGGCATCTCGCACAAAACAAGTATATGACCGAGTTGTTCCACGACTCACTCGGGTTCGGAGCTGCAAAGATGATCAGGTATATATCGCCGTCGTTGTTGTCGTGTCATCTTCGTCTTTAATGATCTATAGATAGTTTTTAACACAAATTAGTAAGGTAAGAATGAAAACAGAGATGTGTTTGTCAATTACCTTAATGTCTCTTGTTACATCTTTCAAATGGTAGGAGAATTTTTGGTGTTGCACATGTTGAGGATTTCGAGTCGATCAGCGACCCGAGCAAGAGGGCAGCGTGCGAGCGACGAGCTCTTGAACTAGCGAAGTTTCTTCTCAAGGAACGACGAGAACTTGTTTCTATCATCGAAGTCATTTCGGCAATCGGCCAAATCGAGTAATAAACCAAGTTCAGGGGACTACCATTCTCAGTTTTGGTGTTGAGGGCAACATCATTTAGTGAGATGCTGTATCTACTTTTGTAATATCAGTCACAAAACATCCAATAATTTCAGGCTTTCTTTTCTTTATAGACTTGTGCATGTATAACAAAATGAATAAACAATGATAATAGTGTCATTATTTATATCCAAAATCAATGTCAATCATACAAACTTTAACTTTAAAAAATTAAAAATTAAAATTTAATTTAAATTCTATTTTAATCTGACTTTTAAGTTTGTTTATTTTGGTTCGTGAAAATAAACAATCATTTTGGTTTTAGTTATATTATTTTTCATCTAATATCCACTCGTCAACGCTCGCTGTGATTTACTTGATCTGTTCTGAGATGATGTTCATAGTAACATGCTATAGATCAACTTCAATAACTAAAATAGAACTAAGCGTGAAATTTAAATCTTAAATAAAATATTTGATTTAAAGCAAATTGCGGGATCTATATAGGGTGTTCAATGAACCCGACGAACCCAACACAATCCATAAGGGTTGGGTTGGGTTGAATCTAACATTGGGTTGGGTTGGGTTGGAAAAATCCCAACCCGACCGGGTTGGCTCGGGTCTCAAATTGACTCTTTCGACCCAATCCGAGATTAAAAGTTTTTTTTTCATTTCATTAAATCTAAACCGTTGATTTTAGGTTTCAATTCAATCATCTTCCTTTTGAATCTTTGATTCTCTCTCTTTTCTAACATTTTCAATTTCATCTTCCTCTCCCCCATCTCCTTCTATAATAAGGTGTAAGCTTTTAATATTGTTGAATTATGACTTATACGCTGGTTTCAATTTTGGATTTGGACTTTAAATAAACTTTGGATAATGTAAAATTTTAAAATTTGTATTAAATTAGGACTTACATGTTGATTTCAATTAGGATTTGAATTGATGCTTAAATTAAGATTTTGATTTTTCTATATTTTTTTTTGTCCATGTTATAAACAAAACAAAAGTAAATTAATTGATCAATTAAAAAAAAAAAAGAACCCGGCAACCCAACCCGAATTTATTGGGTTGGGTTGGCCATCGTTTTACAACCCGACGGTTCCCACAAATTCCCAACCCGAAAATTCGGGTTGGTCCCAAAAATACCCCCAATCTGACCAACCCAGCCCGTGAACACCTTTGGCTGTATTCATAAACTATAATGACTGTTAGTATTGTGGTGCAATTTCCATTGCTTTAAAATCTCCATTGATTAAATTCTATAAAATTTCTACGAATTTAGAAATGTACTAAAAATTTTAAAATGAATGATTTGCTTTTTCTAAGTCATGCTTGATAACTAATAACTATTTTGTTTAAGTTTAATGTTTTTAAAAGTAATGTTTGTTTTCAATTCCCTTAATATATGGTTTTTTTTTCTAGTTCATGAAACAAATTAAATCGAGTCTCCTGGGTGAAAGTCAGATATCCTAACCACTGGACGACAACGGATTTTAATATATGGTTTTCATATCACTAAAAACTATTTGAACTATTAGCTAAATTTCAAAAAAAATAAATAAAATTTAAATAACTATATTTGAAAATACTTTTAAAAATATATATATATAATAAACATAAAAATACATGGGTGAAAACAATGTCTAAGAACTTAATTTTTAAAAACAAAAAAACTCAAATAGTTATGGACTTAAATGGTCTATTTTTATTAGGAGTAATTAGTACATTTTTATCCTATGTAATACAACAAGTGGGGTGGATGATTTAAATTCATGATCTCCTAACGAAAGTTATGTGGCAATTAAACTAAGTTCATGTTAGCCTTATGTATGTTAATCACAAGGGTAGATATTGAATAATCATAATCCTATGTCAATTTGAGGATGACTAGATTTGAAGGTTAGATCCATCCACCCCATCTTTATTGGACTTAAAAACAAAAACAAAATTATGATCTATCATTGTAATTTTTTTTTTTACACTATTTATTAAGTTTGGTTAAACATAGTTCAATAATCACTCTCCTATTTGTAGGCTTGTAAAATTGCACGAGACCCAATAAATAAATAAATTACTATTCAACTTAAAAATTTAAGTTGATGGGTAAAGTAAATTTAATTTAGATATTTCAATATGTAAGTTTTATTTTGTTTTTTTAGTACAGCGTGTTCCTTTAAATATTGTTGTTAAAAATATATAAATCTTATCAGAATATAATATTAACCGTCAAAGCGAGTATAGTAGTTGACATATATTTCTAACCAACATGTTAAACATGAGTTCGATCTCTCACCCCCACTTGTTATAATTTAAAAAAAAAAGAAGGTATAACATGGACCAAACAAACACAACTTCGAAATATTAATATTGTTGTTTTAAAAGAAAAAAAAAACTTCGAAATATTGAAAAGTTGGGAAGACGTGCAAAAAAGATTTAATTAATTTGTATTAATTATTGGGGCGTACTCCGCCTTGTAATCCGCCCAAAGCTCGCCGGCCGTCGCCGCCATCAACTCCACGAAGTAATCCTCTCTGTAACCGTTCCTCATCTTCCGGTTAATCTCCGCCACGAACCCGCTCCCCAGCCCTTCCAAATACTCTAGAAACCTCGCCGTCACGCCGCCGCCCTCGTCCCACCGCTCGCCTTCCCCCGCCCCCGGCCACTCCCCGGAGACAAACCCAGATTTCAGCCTCACGAATTCCGCCACCCCATCGATCAGCCCGCCGGGCGCCTCGGAGTTCCCGCTCCACTGCCACACGTGCGCCACTTCAGGGTATATAATTCCGCTGATCTCGTTCTTCAGGTCGCCGGAAAATTCTGCAATGTGTTTTGCGGCGATGCAAATGTCGCCGCCGAAAGTGTAGGAAACGCCGTCGTATTCGGCGTCGATGAAGAGGCGGATGCTCTGCACGCTCTTCCTGTCGTCGGTGTCAGTTTCCTGTTGGAAGATTTTCCATACGAAATCGGTGGCTGATTTCAGAGTCTGCTCTGCATAGGAAGTTCCGATTTCGAGGTCGAAACGGACGCCGCCGGCGGTGTTTCCGGCGTTGTTGGTGACGGAGAACTCGACGGAGTTTATGGCCTGCACGGAAGCTAGAGTTATGAGGAAAGCGAGAAAAATCTCGGGGGAAGCCATGGAATTAAGCTTATGAGTTTTGATTTCCTTTTTTCTATTTTTCTTGCGGGGAAGAACATGCTGTTTATACGGGAATGGTCGATTTTTTTAAAAAAATTAGATTAAATTATAGGCTAAATATGATTTCGTCTCTATTATTTTAAAAAATTTAGTCTAGTTTCTTACCTTTTATTTTTTATTTTTATTATACTACTTTCTTTCATTAATTTAATGTAAAAGGTCGTTGATATTAAACTTATACAACATGATAGATGGAAAAGATTCACAATTTTAGAAAAGAAATTAAATTCTTGTTAAAGACTTAAAAGATAGATTTAAATCCTTCTTAAGGCTAAAGCTTACCTTTTATTATTTCTTCTTATAAATTTGTGTAACATATTATATAGTATATACCATGTAAGTTTAGTATTAATCACATTTTACATCTACTAATCGAAAAAGAATATAATTAGATTTGGAAAAATACTAAAATATAATGGTTAAATTGAAACTTTTTTTAATAATGATTTTTCTTCTATTTCTCTGTTTTTAAAAATTATATTTAATTCCTCATAATATTTTTTAGTATGTTTTTCACGTTATTAACAATATAATATTTAGATTTTTAACAAAATCTCAAGGCTTAGATTGTAAAAATATTTTCTATTTCGTTATTCTAAGGTGAGAACAAAATGGCTGTGAAGCTCATAAAATTTTACAGTAGTAACTAAATTAACTTTTATCACATTTAAATTTTCTATTGATAAGTCAATATTAAAAGCAGTTGTTAGTGGCTAAAACGAGCATAGCTTAACGGTAATTGACATATACCTCAAACCAAAAATATTAATCATATTTATTTCAAATCTTTCATTTCCGTCGAGATAAGTAATTTAAAATCATTGTTTCAATTTGGGACATGGACGACCTGACCTCTGACATGAATAACTGCCTGTCGGATCCCCTATCTATAAATAGAGGGCATCATCTCCAGTGAAAAGTATCGAATTCTATCTTGAACTTCATATTGAAGTTTGGACTACTTACTAACTTGAGCGTCGGAGAGTTTGCACTCTTGTACAGGTCATCTCTGTCGAGGTGAATCACCTCTCCCAAGTAGCCGACCTTGACCAGGTCAGGACCTCGATCAGTTTTTCATACAAACATAGTTCAACTAGACATTTATATCCGACTAAGAGATCGTAAGTTCGAATATTCATCTCTACATCTTGTACTAAGAAAATATCTCTTGAGGTGTTGCAGTGGCAAGTTATTTCTTACCATTTTCAAAAACAACATTGTTTTAATTCTTATATTTTCAGTTAAAATTTAGTGAACGAATTTAATTTTCATCAAATATTTAAAGGTAGTAAAAATGATTCTCTTGTCAAATGTTGAAATTTCTACTTCATATTTTGCAATGATACAATACTAGTAATATAATAGAATTCATTTGGAAATGAGATAATTACCGACTCGATTTCCAAATACATTTCTAAATTCTAATTAACTCCTACTTGTTTACTTTTTATCTACTTCTCTTTTCAAATTTGAATTTACACATTTTTCAAACACATTTTCAAATCAATCATCCATCCAACTTTCCAATCAAATTTACACAATTTTCAAACACCTCAACCTCGTGATTGTGTCATTCATCCAAATTATTTATCAATGTGATCCATATGTGCTTCATTTTCTACTCATTTGAGTAACTACCTTCAAAACTTTCAGTCTAGGATGATTTGGGAGATCAACTATTGTAATTTATATCAAAGTTATCAAGATAGTGAACTAGATCCTCTGTGATCAGTTTTTTGGTATTAATTAAGTTACCTATTCTACTTCATGTTTCACCACTATTTGAATATAATAATATTTTATTTTTTAAAAATTCTAAGATTATTTCAATCTTTATATATTTCAATATTTCAGATATATTGTTCAATTGTGTAAGTAAGGACTAAATTGGATTAGAAATTATCAATAAAGCAAATTCCAAATCTTATTAGTTATACTTTATACAACATTAAAATTCGAATGTTTCATTGAACAGACTAAGATTAAAATCATCAAAGTTATGAGAAATTATAGATTGTATTGGCATATTAAGAAGAGGATGAAAATAAAATAACTTTAAAAGAAGAAGAGGAAAAAAAAAGATATGTCGACATGTCGACGATGTGGGGAGAAAATCGACTTTTTCCCCCCATGTCGATGTCGACATGCTCGACATGTCGACATTTTGAACCCTAACCGTAAAAGACATCTCATATCTAATTTTTAATTAAAAAAATTTAGGAAAACTTAACTGGAAAGCTACAATAATTTGTTTGTTTTACTTTTATTAAACACGAGCGAATCTAGGTTAAAATACTATTTTTGTCCATATACTTTCAGTCTTGATTAATTTTAGTTTTTGGACTTTCAAATTATTCATTTTGGTCTCTATACTTTAAACTTTGACTCATTTTAACCCCTGAATTTTTAAAATGTTCATTTTGGTCCCCATAGTTTTAAAATATTCATTTTGGTCCCTATGCTTTTAAAAAATGATTATTCTAGTCTCTATTTACAAAATTTTAACACAAATTTTACAACGAAAACATTGTTACATTCTAAGAAATATATTGAGTGTAGTGTCGTGTTAAAATTGTGATATAAAAAATGATATTAACAATAAAACTAAGGGACCAAAATGGTCGCTATTTAATATTTTGAAAATACACTGAAATTAAAATGAACCAAAATTGAGAATACAATTATTAAAATGAACCTTTTAAAAATACAGAAACTAAACTAAAATAAAAGAAAGTATAAATATTAAAATAACGTAAAATTTAAATGTATATATTGTTTAGGTATCGGTTGGTTTTGGGAATTTGGTGCTACATGTTGGAGAAACTTGGAGTGGTTGACTTTTTGTGAATAAATCAGTTTCAATATTTTATAAATAAAAGAAAAGTTCCACATTGGTTGTATATTTCAAAATATTTTTAAAAGATTTTATATTGGTTACATATAGAAATTTAAATTTGACTTTTTCAAAAAGAATAAAAATAATGACAATTAAAAAAAAATTATAGCATTGCAATTAGACATCAATTTTAGATGGCGCAAAAAATAATAGACATGACTAGTTTTTTAAAATATTGAATTCCAATTTTTATGGATTGTTTTTTTTTTATTAATTAGACATGAGAAAATGATAATAATAATGCTAAATGTTAAAAGAGATTTTTGAAAATTTAGAGATATTAAAATATATATATATATATTTCAAATTCTTAAGTATCATATAATTAGGAAAATTCAAGGATGAAAATATGACCTCAAACATATTTTTATGTATTATTTATATTAATTATATCAAGGTGTGAATAATTGAGATTTAAAAAATAATAACAATGTCCTTATATCTTTAGTTAATAGTTAAAAGTAGTTAAAACAATGATAATCCATTTAAAAATTAAAAATTAATTATTCTATTAATTAAATATGTATGGTGATGGTTTTAAAAAAATTATGTGCATTGTATATTGACATGGACCCAAGTTCGAATGTGAGAAGTGATAATCATCTCTTTTAGATTTTTAATCTCTAACTTTAGAATGGTCGTTCATTAGTGACAAAGAAACGAATTCCATCTATCACGAAACAACGTATATATGCTTGAATCCAAACATCTTTTGCAACAACGTATTACGTTTTGATTAGAATTTCAATAATAAAATTAAATTCTAAATAGATAAAGAATTTTACATCATTGAAAAAATCTATGGGTGTGCCTATCTTATTTTATTTTCTAAAAGTGAAATGGAATGAGGGGAAAGGACAATGAAGAAAAGCCAAGGAAATAGGACAAAATAGACAATTCCAAGGACTAAAATTCAAAAGCAAATTGAATATTAAGGTTTTTTTTCCATCTTCCCAGCTGGTTGGCACCTTCTAACACCAAAACCTCTTGAACATTTCTTTATTGGTGTTAAATGACAAAGATAATCTTGTTAATTTTGTTCATGCAAATCGCAAATCTTTCAAACAATTATGATTTTATTAGCTTTTCTTGGTAATCCCTCTTGAAATTTGGATTTAGTTGAATTAAGTTCAAATTGACACGCTTTTCTTTACAATTACTCTTAAAATTTGAATTAATTTAGACATAATTATGAGATAGTAATATTATCATTTGATTGGTTTAAGTTGACAGCAGTAAGATAATTTTAAGCTCACACATTATTTTAAATGGAATTACTAAATTGATTTTATAACAATTTTCTTTTAGAAACGGCATCAAAGATGACTTGGAATTTTGAAATTATGTACTCACATTAATAATTTTTCGCCGTCCCACTTTATTTATCGATTTAAAAAACTAGAATAAGTTTTGACAACTTCCTATTTAGAGAGTGGAGCTCACACGTAGGAAAATAAATTGTATTTTTTTTTTGACGTTTATCTTTCCTTTTTTATAGTTCAACTTTAGTCTTTAACGTGTATCTTTCATTATATAGTTATAATTTTAATTTAAATGTTATTATATATAATAGTTAAAAATTGAGGATGACAYGAGATTGTTGGAAATTTATTCTTCCTTCCATCCTAAAAATTTGAAAATTGACCATTTCTTTCTTTTATTTTCTTTTTTTTTTCCTTCATCTCCAATCATAATACTATTTTTGTATGTTCAAGGTGCGACTTAGGACTTGACTACATCAAATTTTTACATTTTTCAATTTAAAATTGTAGAGAACAAAAGGAAAAAAAAGACATGATTTACCAAAACAATTATATTTAAAAAAAAACGAGAAACGGAAACATTATCCAACCGACCTTTAAAAATTTTTATTAAAGAAAACAAAAATTAATTGATTAAGATATATATTTTCGATTAAAAATTATAAATTCAAATTCTCGTCTTGATTGGACCACATGTTATTGTATTTRAGAGGGGGAAAATAGTCTTTTTGACCAACTTTTTGATTGTCAAATCTAATCAAAGACGTTTTGTAATAATAAAAGTTAGTTAGTTTCCAATTAAAACAAAAAGAAGGGAAATTGAGATTTTTGACCCCTTTCAATAACCACTTTGGACTTTTGACCCCATTTTGATTTTTACCTATTTATTGACCCCTCCACCTTAGATTTCTGACCCCTCCCCTTATTTTGCTTTGTAAAATTACCAAGTTACCCTCAATTTAAAAAAAGAAATCAAACCCAGCCCTCCCCTCTTTTCCCTCCCTGTCTCGGTCCTTCCCCTCCCTCATTCACTATCTCGTTGTCCATCCCAGTTTTCATCCCGGTCTCTCCCTCACAACCAGAAAGTTCATCTCCGTCGTTTCTTCTTCGTCTCCCTCACTTCGTCTCTATCAGAGCTTTCCCCCTTCCCTAATTGAGGTAATTTTTCTTTCGAACTCGCGATCTTATTGTGAATGATTTTCTACCTTTTTTTTCTTCGTTCTTTGCGTGGGTGTGAATGATTTCAACATTCGGCTCTATCTGAAGTAGCCAAGGTTATTATGAAGTTTGATTTATTGTTGCTTCCATTGTTTTGTTTTAATTTTTGACTTTCAGGGTTCCATCTCGGCTTTAAGCCCGGTGAATTTAGGACCGGGATGAAACCCTGAAAGTCCATTCCAGAAGGAT